GTGTGTGTGTGTGTGTGTGTGTGTGTGTGTGTGTTGGGGGGTGAAGCGGTGTCCACATGAGGAGGTCCTGCCCAGAATAGGAACAGGTTGGATTGGGGGGTCAGGACCAGTCAAGTTCAAACCCCAGATCAAGGTTACCTACTGCCTGAGGTCTATCCTGAGCCCTGGAGGTGACTCTCATTTCCCCTGTCATTGCAGAGCTCAAACCAGATCAAGTTGGAACAGCAGCTGGTAGAGGAAGTCCCCTGCCCCATGTCCAGCATTGAGGGGCCGGGAAACCCTGAAGAGAGTGTGGCCACCTGGGCATCTGGGGAGCCAGGGCTCGTGGGTGGACGGAGGAGGACTCCTCCACTGAAGCCTTCCAGGCTCTACAAGCCTCCAACTTCAAAGCCGTTCAGTCCCAACACCCGGAGGGTAACTTTCAACTCTGATGTGGAGCGCTATTTCTATGTTAATCACACCAGTCCAGAAGACCTGGAGCCCAAGAAGGCAGAGCCCAAGGGTGAGAAGGTGGGGAGGTGTGGGAGAGGGAAGGGTGGGGGAAGTCCATGTGAGTTTATGGGGGGAAATTGTTGCCAGACACACAGGGAGCAACCCCAGAGCCTGGCCAGGAGTAAAGACTGGGCCCTGACCACCCATCTGTTGGACTTTGGGCGTGAAGGACGTCCTGTGGTGGGTCCTGGGCTGTGCCCAGTGTTCTGTCTTTGGGGGACAGATGGACATGCAGGCACCTGGGTGATCTTTTCTCCTCTCCCAACTCCAGCAGCAGCCCAGGAGGCAGAGGAGGCTCCTCCTGTCACACCCAAAGTCCATCCTAAGGAGCAGGATTCAGAGCTGAAGGCATGTCCATCTCCAGAGCTTTCACCATCTCCAGCAGCCTCTCCAGCTGCATCTGAGGAGCCAGGGCCGGCCCCAGACCAAACTGAGGCCTCACCGCGGCCGGATGAAGAACCCTCCCTGGGATCCATGCTGGGTCCTGCCTCAGAGGAGGAGCTGCCTGTGGAGGGCCCAGCTCAAGGGCTGCTTCTTAAATGTGCTCGCCCTGTCCCAAGGGAAAAACTTGTCATACCCCCACTCCTTGATCTTTTTCTTTTCTTTTCTTTTTTTATTTTGTTTTTATGTTCTCCATGGCGTGGTTCATTTTTTTATCTTTTTATTTGTATTATTTGGGGTTTTTTTTGCTTGTATTATTATCTTTTTTCTGTTTTTAGCCTTCATTTTTCCATTGTATAATCCATTGTAAATAATAAATAAATGATATTGTTTGTATTTTAAATGGTGCCATTCCTGAGCATGAAGTACAGTCACGATGCTGGGCAAGCATCACCACCGTCTAGTTGTAAGATGTTCCATCCCCCAAAGGAAACCCTGCACCAGCAGTACTCACTCCCCAGGCCTCCGGTCCCTGGCTACCCCTGGTCTGCTTTCTGTCTCTGCCCCTTTACCTATTCCAGATGTTTCCTAGAAATGGAATCTTGCAATAGGTGCCATTTTGTGTTTGTTGAAATATTTTTGTTTGTTTTTTTTATCTGAAATAGCTTTTTCTTTATTTGAAAGGAAAATCCCAGGTAGTAATCAAATGTTAAAAAAAAAAGCCCTTTACGTAAGTGTGTACATGATCTATGATTTCCTGGTAGAGACCTCTGTGCTAAATGTGAACCCAGGGCCAGAAGCCAGTCAGGCAATGGCTGGTTCTTCCTGTGCTCAAAACAAAAAAAGAGAAAAATGCAGAAATCTGGAAAGAAACCACAAGCTGGAAAGCATTCCTCACAACCCAAGAACCCAAGAGAGAGATTTAATATCCCTGTGGCGGAGAAAACTCTCAAAAGTGGGTGTTTTCTAAATGGACAAAGAGCAAACACAAGAACTTCTAGAGAGAGGCAGTGCACATATACTAGGATATGTCAGACCTGCCTGACTATCCCAATGGGAAACACGCATTGTCAACACTGGGGAGAGCACACTGTCACCATCAGACTGGCGGGCTTCTGCTCTTGTGGGGACCAGGCCTCCCCTCTGGGAGAACAGTGAGCAAGACCTGTCAGAATCCCACAGGGGCACACCTGCACCGGGCAGTGCTCCCCCTAGGGCAGTGGTTCTCAACCTTCCTAATGCCGCGACCCTTTAATACAGTTCCTCATGTTGTGGTGACCCCCAATTTCATTGTTACAAATTGAACATAATTAAAGCATAGTGATTAATCACAAAAACAATATGTAATTATAGATGTGTTTTCCGATGGTCTTGGGCGACCCCTGTGAAAGGGTCGTTCAACCCCCAAAGGGGTCGCGACCCACAGGTTGAGAACCGCTGTCCTAGATGGACAGAGACTGAGTGGGGCCGGCAGGAGGGACCCGGGGTGGGGCGGAGTGTCCTCGGGGCCTTGAACAAGCTTGGCTGTCACCTGTTGTGCAGTGGCCTTCTCTCTGCAACATAATTAAAGCATAGTGATTATTCACAAAAACAATATGTAATTATATATGTGTTTACCGATGGTCTTAGGCGACCCCTGTGAAAGGGTCGTTCGACCCCCAAAGGGGTTGCGCCCACAGGTTGAGAACCTCTGCCCTAGGGGTTGCCCCACAGAAACTCTTGCACCATTGTTCAAACTACCCGTCAGCACTGATGAAACAGCTGGGCATTAGACAAAACACTAATGTCCATAGAAAGCATTGGGATCTACCAGTGCTGGTCCACATGGAGGAGGGAAGCTGAGCAGCTGCTCAAGTGGGTGCAGAGGTCTCTACGTGCTGACAGATAAAGACCTCAGGGGTCCTCTCACATGAGACACATGGAAAAACCGTCTACATCCAGGATCCCATCAGTCAGACCACATACATGTGATTTCAACAGGTAGACACGCATATGTGAAAATGACATGATATTGTATGTAGAGAACCCTAAAGATTCTACCAAAAACTACTAGTACTGGTAACTGAACTTAGTAAAGTAGCAGGATCCACAATAAATTCCAGAAATCAGTTGCATTTACTGGTATATACACCAATAATTAACTATCACAGAGGGAAAAGAAGAAAATAATTCCATTTAAAATGGAATAAAAAAATAAATAAATTATACTGGAATAAATTTAACAAAGCATGTAAAATATCTGTACTTCAAAAATTATAAGACACTGAAGAAAGAAGTTGAAGAAGGTACATATAAGTGGAAGCATATACTGTGTTCATGGATTGGAAGAATTATTATTAAAATGTTGCCGAACTGGTTTGGCTCAGTGGATAGAGCGTTGGCCTGTGGACTGAAGGGTCCCGGGTTCGATTCCGGTCGAGGGCATGTGCCTTGGTTGCGGGCACATCCCCAGTAGGGGCGTGCAGGAGGCAGCTGATCGATCTCTCTCATCGATGTTTCTAACTCTCTATCCCTCTCCCTTCTTCTCTGTGAAAAATCAATAAAATATATTTAAAAAAAAATGTCCATACTACCCAAAGCAATTTATAGATTCAGCGCAATTCCTATGAAGATACCAATGGTGTACTTCACAGAATTGGAACAAATATTCCAGAAATTTATATGGAACCACAAAAGATACCAAATAGTCATAGCAACTTGAGAAGGAACAACAAAATTGGAGGTATCACACTACCTGATATCAAACTATCCTACAAGGCCATCCTAATCACACAGCATGGCACTGGCATTAAAATAGACATAAAAATCCATGGGTCAGAATAGAGAGCCCAGGAATAAACCCATGTACCTATGGTCAATTAAGATTTAACAACGGAGTCAAGGACATACAGTGGGGTAAATACAGTCTGTTCAATAAATGGTGTTGAAAAAGTTGGACGGATAACAGCAACAAATTGAAACAACTACCTTCTTACAGCAGACACAAGAATAAACTCAAAATGGATAAAGGACTTAAATGATAAACTCGAAGCCACAAAAATCCTAAAACAAAACATAGGCACTAAGATCTTGGATATTTCTCATAGCAATATTTTTTTCTGATAATCTCTTCAGGCAAGGGGAACAAAAGATAAAATAAACTAATGGGACTAAATTAAACTAAAACGCTTTTGCATAGGAAAGGTAACCATCAACAAAACGAAAAGACAGCCCACTATATGGAAGAACATATTTGCCAGTGATATATCTGATAAGCGGTTAATATCCAAAATTTATACAGAACTCAACACCAATAAAACAAACAATCCATTTAAAAAATAGGCAAAGGACCTGAATAGACACTTCTCCAAGGAGGACGTAGAAATGGCCAATAGACATAAGGAAAGATGCTCAATGTCACTAACCAGCAGATAAATCCAAATTAAAATGACAGTAAGATATCACCTCACACCTGTCAGAATGGCTATCATCAATAAATTGACAAATAATAAGTATTGGCAATGATGTGGCAAAAAGGGAATGCTCTTGTAGTACTGGTGAGAATGTAAATTGGTGCAGAAACTGTAGGAAACAGTATAGGGGTTCCTCAAAATATTAAAAATGGAACTGCCTTATGACACAGTAATTCCACTTCTGGGTATATCATCAAAGAAACCCAAACACCAATTCAAAAAGATGTATGCACCCCTACGTTTATTACAGTGTTATTTACGATATTCAAGATATGGAAACAACCCAATTGTACATCAATAGATGAGTGGATAAAAAAGCAGTGCTACAAATATACAATGGAATAATACTTGGCCACTGAAAACAATGAAATCTTACCATTTGCAACAGCATGGATGGACTTAGAGGGTGTTATTGCTAAGCGAAATAAGTCAGAGAAAGACAAATGCCATATGATTTCACTTATACATGGACTTTAAAGAATAAAATAAATGAACAAACTAAATAGAAACAGACTCAGAGATACAGAGAACAAACTGTTGCCTGATGGGAGAGGGATTGGGGGGTTGGGTGAAGAAGGTGAAGAAATTAAGAAATACAAATTGACGGTTACAAAATAGTCCTAGGAATGTTAAGTACATCCTAAGGAATATAGTCACTGATATTGTAGTAACTATGTATGGTGCCAAGTAAGTACTAGACTTATTAGGGGGATTACTTCATAAATTATATAAACTTCTAACCACTATGCTGTACACCTAAAACTAACATAAAATAAAATTGAATATCAAATATAATTGAAAAGTAAAATTAAAAATAAGAAATTATAAAAAAAAACCACCCAGGACACTATTTTTATTTACTTTATGAATAAAAAAACCCCAGTAAATACCATGAATAATTTCTTTTTAAATATAACTTACAAAATTGACCCTATTAGAAGCAGAAACCCTATACAGAACAATTGTCACAGAAGGAAATGGAGGAAATATATAAAGAGTTCCCCCAATAAAAGCACCAGGCCTAGATAGTGTCATGGGAAGTCTGCCAAAATGTTTATAGGTCAAAATACAAAGAAAACGTAAACTACTCCAAAGCAGAGCAAGTGACATTTTTTTTTTCAAACTTGTTTTATGGAACATTTATCATTGATGAAGACTTCATAAAAATTTATTAGTT